TCTATTACTAAAATGTTTTTTTTTTTCTGGGAATAAATAAATTCATCATGTTTATGGTCTCTATTTTTACAGTGTTTTCAGTGTGTTCAGCTCTACAATGTTTGTTTGTTGCGCTTCACAATTTTCTCGAGCTCCTTCATTCGTGTACGGATGAATCCTGGAGTCGCTCGGATCCGTTGGTCCTCTGTAGAGCCCCGACTGCCTGAGTTCAGGAGAGCAGAACAATAAGCTGGACAAGAGATTTCTGTACTTCCCTCTGAGAATATACAGCGCTGGGTTTATGCAGCAATGAGAAAATGCCAGAATCCTGCAGATGATAAACGCAACGTGCAGCTGATAATGTTCACAGGCATCAAATTCATAGATGGACATCAGCACGATGATGATGTGGTACGGTCCCCAGCATATGAAGAAAGCTATAACAATGCACAGCACCAGTATCACAGTCCTGTATTTCTGCCTGGTCGACGTTGACATGAGAGTCAAAAGGATTTTGGTGTAACAGAAAGCAATGACTGCAAACGGTACGAGGAACAGCAGAATGAGCTGTGCATAATATCCAGCCTTTTCATCATGCGTATCGGTGCTTTCACAAGAATATGTGTTGATATGCGCATTTTGTGCCTTTGCGGTTATTGAATCTCTCAGACAAGCAATCAGACTTATGATCCAGGCACCAATGCAGGCAACTTTTGAACATTTGAGCCTTCGACTCCGTGTTAGCCAGTAGCTTCTGACCACAACCACAACAAAACGGTCGAGGGTCATGGCCGTGAGGAGGATAAGGCTTCCGTAGATGCCTACAAAATAGGCCCCGGTCATGATCTTGCAGGCGACATCACCAAAAACCCAATGATGAAGAAGCTCCACGCACCAGAAAGGCAACGTCAGTGTGAACAGAAGGTCGAAAAGAGCCAAACAGAACATGAAAAGGTTGGTAGCCCTTTTCAGGTCTTCGTAGCAGGTGAGCGCAAACACGAGGAAGCCATTTCCAAGGATGCTGAGGCAGAAGATCGTGGCATAGCACACGCCGGTGGTCATTTTATAGTTGTCGACCTCACACATTGAGATTAGCTCGTCATCATACTCATATGAGTCATTCTCATAATGGCTGATGTTTGAGTTGAACGCCTCCATCTAGCATAAAAATAAAGGCATTTTACCACAATGCAATTTCTGACACTTGCATGATGTAGAAAATTTCAAAGCAAGCAATCACAGTCAAAAAGCTATGCAACTGTTGCATCTTGCATCTTCGGTAGTATACAGTATAGTAAGAAGAATGAAAGAACATGAAATGCATACCTCAAGGTCTTGGTTGACTGGGTTGTATAACTGCTTAAGGAAAATGGTCTAAGTGACAATAGAAATCACACTTCTGTTAGTGTTGTCATTTCCTTTTGCTAATGCATGCAGTTTCACAATGAATAAACCGAGAGTGGCTTGGCATTGCAGCATGTGTTTTCTGAGAAGTTTAAAAACCTTTTGGCTAGTTCCCAAATATATTTATATTTGTATATTTATTGAGAATTTGAGTGATTCCAGGTCCTTAATGATTCTCAATAAATATTTGGGGGGAAATGCAATTGCATTAGGCCTACTTTTTCCATTTCAATAAAATATGAATTTTAAACAGTTCTCGCAAAAGTATAGACTTTTAATGACTTTTCTGTTTTTCTAGAGGCAAGGATACAGTAAAAACAATCCAATAACAGGCCTTCGTTTTGTTCTAAAACTCGATATTAAACAACAATACTAAACACATAAAAGTGAAAATGTATTAAATTCATTCATGTTTTAAAAATGCTATCGATAAAATGCATACTGAACACATTGTCATATGAAGAACTAACTCGATCATCTACATTTGAAAAGAATGTGTTTGATTCACTGAAAAAGAGGTGGCTCATAACAGTACATTATCTTGCAGTATCACAATGGTCATTATTTTGTGATTTTGTTTGATGTTGTTTGAATGGCACAGATAAATACCTTTCAGACACTGGATTATTAGTCTGCACATGGAAACACAGGTAATTTATTAACAATACTGTACTATTTCCATATTAAAGAATACATATTAAAGTAAAATAAGTCACCTGAACAAACTTTACTCTCATCTTGAGTTCTTTCCAGACCATTTGATGAACCAAAAAACACATACCAGAAGATCACATTGAATCAGCCAACCACATATGACTAAAGTGCCAAATCTGTGGTGAACTGATCCATAGAACAGCTGCAAGTATGAGAAATTAGCAGAAATGCTGATTTTTTGGTGACTCATCGAAGTATTGACAGAACCAAAGCCCAGGAACATGCGTTAGTGAATAGTTAATGCACATGTTTTAAAAGAATTCAAGTCGCCAAGTCTGTAAGTATATCAGTTAATGATCTTTGGCTAATTTGATTAGTGATTATTTAATTATAAACAATTATTATTATCATTATGTAAAAAATCTCAGTGGAAAGATATTTCACTTTTAGTAGCAGATAATGTGAGATGCGCAGATGCAAAGATGTTTTGTTGATCAAAGTTACTTGCAGGAAACACTCATAGAAACCTCAATGAGAACATAAGAGCAGAGCAAACATGCAGGCATTTTTCATTGCATTTATTTAGTTACAAAACAGAACTCACACTATACTGGCATCATTTTAAGATTAGGGTTGGTTTATTAGGTATCCTGACAGATGTTTCCTGATGGTTGAGGGTTGAGATTTTTTTTTCTGCTTGCATATTTCAAATTCTCAAAAAAAAAAAAAGGGGTATGAAACTGTCTGCAGTTGAACCCATCCAAGTTCACACACACAGTAGGGAACACACACACACACACACACCATGAACACACACCCGGAGCAGTGGGCAGCGATACCCTTTCAAAAGGTACTAATATGAACAATTTAGACAATAATAGGTACTTTTAAAAGTGACAGCGTTGTGTCTTATTTCTGAGAGTGAACAAAGTTGCAGGAAAAGGCTTAGAAAGGAGAAGTTGAGGCCCCTGATCACAGATCAAAGAAACACTGTTTATCAGGAAACCGCCAGCAATGTGGTTGGGTGCAATTTCTTTTTATTGTTTGTGACTCAAAAGTTACATTAATGACAGAAGTTAGGTCTAGTTTTACAGTGAAATAAATGCACATGTTTTCTAAAACATTCATAAATCAATTATTAATATATTAATAATTTATTAATAAATTGAAGGATAAACGATAATGATTCACTCAGTTTAAGTTTCACACATAAACTGCTAGAAAATGTCAAATTTCATATATACATATACATATATATATACTGTATATACACACACACACACACACACACACACAAACAAACATATACAGTGGGTACGGAAAGTATTCAGACCCCCTTAAATTTTTCACTCTTTGTTATATTGCAGCCATTTGCTA